CTGCTACGAAACACACAGGTCGCGGGTTCAACTCTCGGGGGCTGCACAGATACTGTACACAGGTAAGGTAAGGGCTAGGGATCGAACCCTGGGATCTGCGTCAGCTACTGCGAACTGGTGAATACCATATCAGGTGGTGGTTATCCAATCCAGATGGAATGTAAGAATGAAATGAATACTAGTATGAATCTTTTGAAATAATGAGAATGTAAATGATCAAGGTGGTGAAAAGAGAGGTATGAGTTCCGGGTGGGGTTGGTTTCACGTCCACTTTGTGGAATGTTCCCTATGTGGGATCATTGTATGTGAAGTTTGGCAGACTTTCCTTCAATAGTAAGGGAGTCGAAATGTGGTCCATTTCGTTCTGCAGGCTGATGAGAAGGGAGGTGTGGAAGCGATTTCGGGTTTTCGAATCCGTATGTAGTTGTGGGGTGTTGTGCTTGTGGTGATAGAGGGTGAGGGGGTGCACGAGTGATGTGAGGATAACGTGTATTGGATTGAGTGGAGAGCACGGGTGAACGATGTATTTCGCCTGTGAGAATGGTCTGTTGTCACCGAGAGGGGGGGGGCTGTGCAGTTAGGGTGGAGAAATGCAATGGCGGGTTTTGATGCTGTGGAGAGGTGGATATGATGGGGAGAGAGGGGCGATCAGATACATGACGTGGTTGACGGAATGGGGGCCGTTTTCAGGATCAGGTTCAGGGTGGATGGCGTTGGTGGCTGTGCAGGTGTGAGAGGGGGGGCTTAGGAATGATGATGCGACTTGACGAAAGTTTGCTTTCCTTGAGATGGGAAGATAGCTGTACGTCCCTTGTATGCGACGAAAAGGGGATGTGGGGAGTGTTTTGTCTGGTTTGCAGATGGAGTAGTCGAGTCGAAGTGGAGTGAGACGTCGGTGTCGATCGCTGGTACTGTGCGGAACTTACTAAACTTGGTGGAGGGTGAGAAGATCAGATGGGGACAACAACGCTCTTGTTGGCACTTTCATACGTCTATAGAAGGTGCTTCTCTTCTCGTACGCACATGACTCCTAGCGGGGTGTGGACCTTCCTTCTTCGGCGATTCGGGGTGGACGTTTGTCGAGAACTTACCTCTCTTTCCGGTAGGTGCAGATTTCACCTCGAAAATCGAATGATGAGCTGTTTGCCCGTTGTGCCGCTCGAAGCTTGGAGGAAGCGCTGGGGTTTTCCGGATCTTTCTCTCTTGAGCCCTTCTCCCTGATTAGAAAGTTGGTACTTCGACGTTTCCCCCCTCCTCCTTTGTTGTGCTTGTTCTGTCCCTCTTTCTGCCGTGAACACTGTTCCCTACTCGCCTCTACCTCCTCCTTATTGCTCTTGAAATATCCTCTCCTCCCCTTTCCTTCGCCTCTTTTGTCTCAAATCGATACTGGGCTCACCTGGTCACACCTGAGGGCATGGGTTGGATTGACGAATCCTCTCTCACACCTTGCTCTCTCGCCCTTTGCACCTGCTAGGATGGAGACTGATGCCTTGCTCTTTTTCCCAACTGCGATTATCTGGCGGGGATTGCTGTTTTGTTTTTTATTCCAAAATAGGACCGCCCTTTCCTTCACGTTCTGTTTTCTGTTCTCAACTACTGTTCCTCTTTCCAAAACTTCCCCTCATTGCTTTACTGTTCTCCTGGATGCGCTCGAGTGTTCTCTCCTTTGTCTCGAGACTTATCACTGTTGCCTCTCCGTACTCTTCGTCGTTTTTCTTCTTTGTCTTGTCCTCCTTGTCTTCGCACGTGTTGATGATGATGTGTAGCTATGGACGTCTTCTCCCCACGCCCGTAGGCGTGCCTGCAACTTCCCCGCTTTCACGCCCAGATTCGTGCCTCCCTTGAAAATTCGACGAGGGTTGCGCGGGGATTGTCCCGGCGAGCAGGCTCTGGAGTAGGCCGCGAGGCCCTGTGGAGGCGAGGATGGTTTTGCGCTGTTTGCGTTAGCGCTAACCACCGGCGCTCGCGGAAAAAAAAAATTCACCTTATTATTATTTTTAATTTTTAATTTTTATTTTCATTCTTGTTTTTTTTTTTTTTTCCGAATTGCGTTGTGAATTTCGACATGGCCCTCAGGCAAAAGTTGTTTGTATTGCAATGTTTTGCAACTTTTTTTTTTCGGAATTTACTATTTACTAATTTACTGAGTTGTTTTTCTAAATTGAAATTTGCAAAAAATTGAATACAACATACGGACGTTATATTTGACAGTACGTTCTATTTGAGAAAAAAATCAGTGATTTTGGAGAACCCGTTTTTTTGAGGTAAGTTGAATACAACATACATACATTTTTTTCGGGTTAAGACAGTAGCTTCTCAGACGTACCGCCGTCTGGGGTGTCGCTCTGGGCGACGAGGTGAGTCCTGAATACTCTGTATCCATCAGTGAATGCATCCTGGGCAGATTGTGTGGGTAAAATCTCCTGATGAGTCAGTGGAAGTGACTTTTCTATTTCTTCAAACACCCGCCGGCCTCTCGATATCATCGTTGAAATGACCAGGCCCATTTAATTCAGAGTTATAATTTTGCTCATCTACATGCATCAAGATTTATGCTTAGGTCCGTCTATTGGGGGGGGGGGGGAATGATCTGTCATGGGATAAATACAGGTGGCAAGACGATCAAGCCCTTCAGATGACGTGGCAGTTGTCAAAGCTGTCAGAAAGGCTGTGGGAAGAGAGGTCCAACTCCGAGCTGATGCAAACAGAAAGTGGAGTCTCGAGGACTCTCTTCAATTTGGAAAGGGTGCTTTTGAGTGTGAGCTTCAGTATGTGGAGGTGCGGTTACTCTTTTGCTATTGATTTTGCAATTCAACTTTGCATCACCGTATAGGCCTTCTGTAAGGCAGATTACTTTCTGCCAGGCAATTTATAGACGTCTTCAGGCCATCTAACTTGCCGAACGCAAACAATCTTTTTTTGTCCACTTTTGTCTTGGGATCTTTTGGTCAATGTGACGGATCTTTACAGCACCTGCTTTTCCTTTCTGCGACTGTGTCAGTACTGTGCTAGTACTACACACTAGCAATGGATTTTTTTTTTTTCCCTTTTCAAGGGACAACGACTTTTGTTACTTTTTGTATTAATAATGCTGGAAACTGGGTCCAGCATCCCTTACATCAAACGTACTCACTTTACGTTTCTTCCCGTTATGGCCGGGAGAACCTGAGACAGCAGCATTGATCTTTACTTGATTGAAAGGATTTACCACTGCTCCACCCCTGGTTTCATCCTAAATGTATCTGCTACTTTGTGAACTATCCTGACAGCATTGTTTGCTTCCCTTTGGAAGGATTGTGAGGACGTTTCTTTACTTTTGAGCTTTCTGCTCTGCCCCATTTTTTTTTCTGACCCCAGCTATTTCAATCATCCTTTTTTTTTTTTTTTTTTTCAAAAGCCCAGGTTGTTGTGAAGGCCAGGTTCCAGACATACAGTGGTCGCAGTCATCAGTCAGCCATTGGTTGTCCTGACAATTTTTATTGGTGATACCGCTACCCATTCTCTCTTCAATTCTCCCACCGTACCCCTATTCCCACAATCCTACCCCAGTGTTAATCACTCAGGACTATCACCCCGCCAGGTGACTTGGACCGGACAGCAGTTATAGGCACCAGGGCTAAGCAGATATCCCACCCAGCCCTGGTTGAAGCATGATCGTGCGAGGTACTTCAGACGCCAGGCTCAAGCAGTGTTTCTATTGGCCCTGCCTATTACCCTAACCCCTAGCGAGCATATCACTGACTGTGTCTGCTAGCCCCCCCAAGGCCCAGATCTAGTCTATGACACCCCTAGCTTGGACCAGGTAACCCCCTCTGGCATTCTAGCTGTGTGTGTGGCCGTAGGCTGTATGTGTGTGCCCATAGGCTGTGTTATTGCAAGGAACCTGACTGTTCATCACTTGCTGGAGTGCATCAGTTCACATGCATATTCACATATTTCACAGATTGCGAAGTCTCACACAAAGCCCAATAGAAAATGAATGAGAACCAGGAAGCTCAACCCAATTATCATAGCCAGATTAAGAGAGGAATTTCGTGAGTTCAAAATGTATAGCGCTGAACAGAGTTACAAGTCTTCTTCGGTCAACATGAGTTCCAAGCCTGGCGCT